TTTTTCGGTTTCGGTTTTTTTCGGTTACGGTTTTTTTCGGTTTCGGTTTTTTCGGTTTCGGATTGGCCGGTTCGGCTCGGTTTTTCGGTTTTGCGGTTTTTTTGCACACCCCTAGCAATCAGAGCCTGGGACTACATGATAGAAGTCGCAAGTACGGGTTGTGTCTTCAAACATTCATATATCGACCATAAGAACTACGTTTTAAATGTATTTTATATTCACGCATAGGTATTTCTGAGTACTACAAATGTCCTTTACACTTTGTCGGTTAATTGCCAACCAATCTTAATTTTAACAGTCTAAGAAGATTATACTACTAATGAATATATAAAATTCATAACTTCTACATACGAACTCTATTTTCGTCTGTCTTTATATTAAAAGATTCCTATTAATGAGATCTTCAATTCTCATTTAGATTATTTTAACTAATAATCAACCGCTCTAAAATTCGATATCAGTGCGCACACTGTTGCACTGAATCTTAGAAAAATCATAACTTCCTCTTACGAAGTCAAATTTGGATGTTCTCTATATGCATGCTCTCAGTTAACGACTATTACGAATGTGTTTGGATAGAAAAAAAAAAGAGGGTGCTTATTGCTTCTTGCTTATTCCCACCACAATAAGCTAAATTTAAGTGTTTGAATAAAATCCTTAAAAATAAGCTTATTATATTAGGAATAAGCTAAATAAAGTAATTTTAATAAGCATCTCCCCCGTATTGCTTATTGCTTATTCTCACCACAAATAAGCTAATAAGCTCATCCAAACACCCCTTACGACTATTGTTTAGATATTTTTAGGCTAAATGTATTTTATCAAACATTCTCTTTTTACGATATATAGAGTCATACCGGTTTAATCGTAAAACTTCAAAGAAGCATAACTTCTTCATACAAAGTCAAATTCCAACGTTCTTTATATGTACAGAATCCTTGTTATATATACTATAACTTGTGTTAAGATTATTTGTCTTACATAGTCTCATATCAAAAAGTCATTTTTAACACTTATTATCTCTAAATTGACTAGCATGAATCTATAGTTGTTACAAGAACTCACTAAGCTTTATACTTATAGTTGTCGATTAAATGTTTTACAAGTTATTCGTGTAAAGAGTTCGGAAGGTCTCTACACTCCACATCAAAGATATTGTTTCAATTGATTTGTAATTCAACTCTATTAATCATATGGTTTTCAAATAATTTGATGTTACAACATGATTTTATGTATGTTTTTTATTGATTAATCTTTTTTTAAATAAAAAGTATATTTTGTAATTTTAAGAACGTTACAAAATTTCAACATATGAAACAGTACTCGATACTCTAAAATCACAAAATTTGGTACTCGGTAGTGGTACCAGTATCAAAAACTGGGATCATTCCTGGTAGTTCGATTCGATACACAATATCGTTATTTCATTCATTTCAGTATTCAGGTTTTGGGTTGATATTAGTTATGTCACATGCTCAACCCTAAACCCTAATATGTCCCATGCTCAACCCTAATATATGCTCCTTATATTCGTATTATTTATGCTTTAATATAGGCGTTTATTACATTACACATGTGTCCATTAAGTAGATACTATGAATTATGAAATATGAATTTAAAAATGGCGTAGTTTTTAACTATCATTAATAATTATACTTAAAACTATTAGGTGGATTATCGACAAATAATATAAAGTTGCAATTATTTAGATTCATGCAAGAGTGCAGGTAATATCTAGTGAAGTTTTGCGCTAATATTCTTGCAATTATTTTCCTTTTTGTAAAGTTCCCATTATTACTATAAATAATGGCTTAAATTAACCCATTTGCCCACTTCATTTGCATTAGGTCATCAAATGGTGGTTTTAATGGGAAGTTCTTGTAGCCATGTGCTAAAAGGTTTTCTGTTGTGGGTAAAGTTTTGGATAAATGTTTATTTATATTTAATAATTTATATTCAATATATTTATAAAATTCTTTATCTTAATAAGTTTTATAAAAAAAAAGGTTATTTAAATTAATATAATTGAAGATATGTTAAATACTTATATTATATTCATTGGAATTTTCAAAACTTTAACTTTAAACCAATTAAAAACAACTATTCAAGATTTGTTTTATCTTATGTCTTATAATTACTAAGTACTAAAATTGATGTTCAATAAGCTTTAATAAATGATTTTTCATCTTTTAAAAATTAATACCGTTTAATGATTACTTTTAAATTTCTCATGTTATACAAATATTAGTAATATATATAAATAAGGTTTTCTCACAAAAGATATTCATATGTTTGAAGAGGTTATTGATATAAAGCAGAATTTCATATATACTATTATTAAACGTCAAATTATCATATTTGTATGGCTTAACATCTAAATATCATATTTCTCCTCCCTAATATTTTATAATATAATATTTACCCAAATATATATTTTTTGGTATTTTTTATTAATTTATAATTCTTTTTTATAATCTTAAATAATTATAATTGAAAAAACATACTAAATGGACAATAATGTCCTTACGTCTAAATGCCAGATATCACAATCACATGATTAGGATTTACAATCGCAACTTCTCTCTTCCTTACGATCGTATCACAGTTCCTTCGTCCCCTGTTATCTCACCTAGCTTCTAGCAATCACACCCATCACGCTTCAAGTAAGGTAATTAACTTCGACCCTACGATATTTAGGGAGGGAGGAGTTGTTGAATCCTTTTTTGTTTTTTTTTTTGTTTTTTGTTTTTTGTTTTTTTTGTTTTTTTTGCCTCTTCAAATGTGTTGATACTTTTAGGTAGTGATGAAGTGATGACTAAAAGTATTTTATTTTTTCTATGATGGATGTCTTATCCTAATAGATGTTTATGTCTTTGTTATTCAATTCTCATTTACTTTTGTTGTTGAAGTTATGTTTCTTCTTTATTCTACTTTGTTTAATATGGATTTGAAGAGCTTGATCATAAATGACTAGATTGAAACCATCTATTTCTTATGGTGATATATGGAGTTGAAGGATTCCAATTTTCACAAAAACCCGGATGTAAATTACAGTAACAGATAGCAGTAAGCATAACTTTGTATTATAATCAATCAATGGCGATATGTGAGACGAATAATTTATCGGTTAAGAGCCTCATGGAACCTAGTTTCTTAAATGGGAACTAGACTAATGTATTTCCCTCGGGACCCATTAACATAAAGTCGAACCGGACTCCATTTGTTGCATATGAACCGGTTTACTAATCAGGTTTTATTTGTCTTTCACATTATAACTTATGACTCGGCTAAATACGACCGGGTTTTATAATACATTTTGTCGTAGTGATTATTCAGTATATCAAATAAAACCCTCCAGTAATGTGCATCCAATTAATATGTCAATACAATTACATGACGACAATTATAGAGAGATAAATGTGATACATAACAAGCGATTTAATTGTGTGTATTATGTCTCGTGGTTGTGATCAAAATCTAGTATTTGAAGTGTAAAGGGAAATAAGTTTAATGTGTTTTCGGCCAGGTCAATTGTAACACCGTAAATTTTCAAACAAAAATTTCGTTTTATATCACATTCCTTCCAAAAATTACAAGTGTCAATTTATCAACACATTTTAAAAGTTGTTTATCGCAAATCCAGGATCCTCAAATATAACTCTTTTCTCTTGTGTGTACAATCAAACTGGCACCTTCCCGCGATTCTAATAAAAACCTGAAACACATAACACATAACACGGTAAGCACAAAGCTTAGTTAGTTCCCTAAAATACCACATACAGCTCGTTAGCCACTCGACGCTATAACACAGTAAGACCCTCCGATCAATGTGTCTTAGTGGGACCCTCTGGTCCCACAAGTCTGATGGACCCTTCGATCCTAACTCTGATGGACCCTCCAGTCCTAACTCTGTAAGCTCAGAATAATACACAACATAAATCATAAAGAAATAATGCAGGATATCACAATACACAATATAAGCACATAGGACCCTTCAGTTACACAACTCAGATTACCACTAGGGAAGTATAGTGAGAAGACGCACCTCGAAAGCAAGTGAGCAAATAACCTCGTACTCGAATCTCGAACTAGCCTTCGCCTAACACAAAGGATGAATATCTCTAATTAATACTCTTTTCATGACTCTAATAAACCGAAGGCTATTCTTTCTCTCTCTAACTCTTGAAGTGGATAAAATACAATTTTACCCCTCCATGGTCTCCATTACTCATGTTTGACCAAACCCTCAAGTCAACAGAAGTCAAACTCCAGTCAACAGTCCATTTTTGACCCGACTCGCTGAGTGCACCCATATGACTCATCGAGTGCACTCGTTTCCTCAGAAGTCTCGTGAAGGTCCAGCTCAGCTCGTCGAATTGACCCCCAACTTGCCGAGTTATCGCACGATCAAGCTCATTGGGACTAAACCTCACCGACTCGGCGAGTCCATTCAAACTCATTCCTCACTCAGACGAAACCTTAACTAGCAATGAAGCATGTAATAAAATTCATCATATTATCACCATGTTATAACATATGTTTACCAATGCATTACATCTTTAATTCAAAATAAGCATGCTAGATGATCAACCAATTCAAGGATGTAGCAATGTAATAAAAAGACATACCATCAAGCAAGCATAACATATGATTATGGATTTCATTAGGCGCAATCATCACAAGCAATTCCAACTGGCATATATCCATCATAGCATCATATCAATAAATACCAAGGCATAACCATACACAAGGTGCACACAATAAGATTTACCAACCAAGCATCAACAATTCTAGCATAATCCTAATTTACGTCTATAATCCACTTATTAGATGTAGTTTCGGTTATGCACTAAAGTTAAGAAAACTATCGACTCATACCAAAAACTAGCTTATCATATCAAATTCGTTAGAATGAAAGCATCATAGCGAATAACTCATAATATGGAAATAACACAAATCATACGGTTGCATCACAAATATCATATCATAATCAGACACAGGTAATGACATGATCATCCTAAAGTGAATCAAATCACCATCTACGGATTGTACGTTTCAATCATGCAACCTTATTGAGTTAAAACTATGAACTCACCTTTAGCCTTGAAGAAATCATCCTTCTATTCCAAATCCTGAACTTACTTGAAATTCTCAATGCTCCACCTAAACACCACACATAACAAGCAATTAACAAATAAAGTATATGTTTCAAAAATACTACTTTATTCTAACTTTTATATTATTTTTTATAATTTCCCAGCCTGACCTCTATTCGGTGTTTTGGTTATAAAACAGAATCTACAACTCTAAATGGGATGGAATTTGACTTTTTACTCGATTTCCTAAAACTTGGTTCTTATGATAATTTTCTAATTCAGAACAGAATGACCTCTACAACCCTTCGTAAGACAAATTAACAAATCTGTCAAGATTTGTAATTATGACACACACTACCATAGCTTAGAAATTGGATTATAGCCACTCAAATTTCACACACACATTATAAACCCCAGATCACACTTTTAAATTTCCTTCCCATAAGACATACAAAATAATTTGCATTACTCCAATTATCCCCCACAAAACAAATTCAGTTTCTTGACATGGCCCACATACATGCATCACCTCCCCCTGTTTATGGTTTCTTTTATCTGGCTTTGTTCATGTAGGGGTACCCTGCCTCACATTATATCTTACAATCCTCACGGAGAAGATATTCCATACATAACTACATCAACTTGTGTTGTGTCACTTATTCCTATCGTAAAATAATATAAGAGTACAACAATTTCCCATCGATTGTAGATACATACATATGAAATATATGATTTTCTTCACATAAAATCAAATTATATATCCTAGTAATCACATGTATTGAGCAAGAGTGGTTACCTAATTGTTGGATAGCAACTTCTTAAAGATCTAGGGACAATCATGTGAACCGTCCCATGCTCATTGACACTCTTTGCAGCGTGACACAACCTTGCTTCTTCTTTTTCCTTCTTTTTCTGGCCAACAATCAAGCATACACGACATTGAAGCTAATCCCGTCCCCTTTAAGTTGTGATAATGTTGCTAAAATACTTGTTTGCATGACATATGTCTCTTGCTGTAGAGGTTCGCGAGAAGTAGCAACTAGCCTAAAAAAAACCATCTCTTTAATTTTGTAGACGATGAAGCAACCTCAAATGGAGGAGTGGAGCCGGTTTTTTTTTTTTTTTTTTTCTAGGGTGGAGAAGCGATAGTTGAGTCATCGGCATTGAAACGGAGGAGATGAGATATGCGTATGTTTCCTTATTTTGGGAGAGGCATTAAACACATTTTTCATTATTGGTCCCTAGAATTCTTCATAATGGGGGGTGTGGTCCCAAACCCCAAATCACTAGATTCAATACTTTAAAAAAATAACACTTTAACCCCTATGATGGATTATATATATACTCAATATTCCCACAAATTAATTGATCAACACATATACCTTTAATTGTTAACTATTTGTTTTAAATGCTAATTAACATGGGTTTTAATTATGTTATTCATTTTATAACTCAAAATCGAAATAACCCTACAAAATGAATATTCGTTTAACGGAAACTACATCGTTGACGGTATGATTTTTGGGTCGTTACAATTATCCTACTTTTTTCATTAGCAGTGGCATATTAGGTGGCAAGGTTGAAAATGAGGAAAAATAATGTCAATGAGGAAGAAGATGGTTTTCTCTAGTCTGCTCCCCACATCCCTTAGTACCACCTACTTCTCACCGTCATCCTAACCATGCGATACGGAGGATTGAACACGAAGAGTGTATCAGGCGGAAACAATTTTGTCAGAGCATGGCTAGAGGTGGAGGTCGATGTGGAGGTAGGCAGTTGGCGGTATTTCGTCAGCTGCCGAGAAACCTTAGTGGCTTAGTCAGAAACCATATGCGCAACGGAGACCCTAGATCTTGCTGGAAATCGGCAATATCTTGTTCTTGCTGGAAATCAAATGCATGTTGTCGAAAACCTTATGTTTCAACAGAAACCCTAGCCGGAAATGGCGGCGGTAGCCGATGGTTTTTGGTGGACTATCGATTTCTGATGGCGCTATTTGGTGAAGGGGGTGACTGACGATTATGTATATGTGATTGTGTCTTTTTTCGATCAATATCACATTAAAGGGGTAAATGGGTGGGAAAAATGAAGGGGGACGGACAGTCATTTCAATTGTACAAAAAAAAATCTAATTGAAAATAACAATAAATGTAACATCCATAAAATTCCATAAAATTTTCAAACTTTTTCAACCAACCAAAAATCATAATTTTTTACATTGTAATTTTGAAAACAATTTAAATTGTTGGATTAGTGTCTAAGTCCATAATTATTTTGGTATGTACTTGACCCGATTGTGAGCATTGTCCTTTTGGGTTGTGTAACGACCCAAAAATCTGTTAATAATTTATTTTAAAACATTACTAAAACCATATTTATAAAAACCGTATCATAAGTCATAACATAATTTCCGAGTATTAATTCGAAACATAATCTTATTATCAGAGTAAAACATTCCCAGGCTAACTAACTATGGTGTGTGCACTGCAACCTCTTCGAGCTCCTCTTTTGAAAACTGAGTACCTGAAACCAAAAACTGAAACCGTAAGCACGAAGCTTAGTGAGCTCCCCCAAACTACCACATATCATACAATAACATATAAAGCACATACTAGGCCTTGCCCACTGCATCGGACCGAGGTCCGGACTAACTGGGGCCTTGCCCCTGCATCGGACCGAAGTCCGAAACTGGCTGGGACCTTGTCCCCTGCATTGGACCAAACTGGGGCCTTGCCCCCTGCATCGGACCGAAGTCCAAAAACTAACTGGGACCTTATCCCCTGCATCGGACCGAAGTCCGGACTAACTTGGGTCTTGCTCCCTGCATCGGAGCGAAGTTCGGAAACTGACTGGGACCTTGTCCCCTGCATCGGACCGAAGTCCGGACTAACTAGGGCCTTGCCCCCTGCATCGAACCGAAGTCCGGAAACTGACTGGGATCTTGTCCCCTGCATCGGACCGAAGTCCAGACTAACTGGGGTGTAACAGCCCAAAATCCAGGTTAGCTTTATGACCCTTCTATTTTGGAGAATTGGCTAGTTAGTCCCTTAAAGTGAAAGATGAATTAGTGAGTATGCTGGGCGTACTGGGGCGTAGGCCGCACGTACTCGCACGCTTAATTTGTACGCGAGTCATCCGAGTACGCTGGGCGTACCCAAGGTTACGCCGGGCGTAACCGGTCCATATGCAAAACCCTAATTTGTGGCCTTGCTCTATAAAAGGAACATGTAGTCCTTTGCCCTAGTTACCATACACCCTTGAGAGATCCCTTGAAGAGCTGAGATTTGTGCTTTAGCTTGTGTGTGAGTTTTTGAGCTTGAAGTTGTCTTTTAAAGGTGAAGAAGGAGAAAAAGGAACCATTGTTGGAGCTAGAAGTTGAAGAACAAGTGTAGATCCGAGTTCTACAGTGGTTGGAGATCCTTCCTGAGGTAAAAAGCTCAAACCTTTCCTTGTTCTTCATAAGTTTTGCTTGTTGGATCATTTTTAGGGTTTTTGGTTCAAAGTTGGAGACTTTATGTGCAAAGAGTCTCCATAAGCTTAGATCTGACCTTTTCTAGTGTAATATGTGTTGAGGAGTCATAAAAATCGAGTCTTGGACGTGGATCTTGTGTCATGCATGAGTTATAGTCTCATTATGGAAAGAGGAAAGGTGTTTTGAGCACACAGTGACCTTTACAGCCATGCAAAGGCTTAAATGTTCCAACTTTATGATTTAAGACATATTAGAGGAGTCAGATCTGAAGTTTGGATGCAAGTCTTAACCGTTTAAGACCTGAATGTGCTAAACAAGGAAACTGGGCATTACGCTAGGCGTAATCCCAGTACGCGCCGCGTAAGGGGTTGCGTACCCCGTTTCTGGAATGCAAGAGTACGCCCCGCGTACAAGAGCTGGTATGTCCCGCGTACTGCTTGCTGTTGACTTTTGTTGACTTTTAGGGTTTTAGTCAACATGTGAACTTTTAGGTCAGGGAGGGGTAAAATGGTCTTTTAACCTTCTGTGGAATTTTAGAAGGAATATAGTATAGCCTTGAGAGCCGTTAATGATTTAGAATGATTATTTGATGTGATTAGGTGAGGCTAGGACGAGGTTACGAGATTCAGGAATATCGAGCACGTGAGACTTAGACATCATACGAGGTGAGTCTTCTCAATATACTGTACTTGGAAGGGTACCTATGTGTGATCGGAAGGTCTGGTATGATATAAGATATATGCACTGTATGTTAAGTTGCCTGTTTTGTATGCGATATGTATGTTATGCTTGATATGGGCCGGAAGGCATTATGTTATGGGTCGTTAGGCATTATGATGTAGACCGGAAGGTCAGGGAGTTATGGATCGGAAGGTCGACACAGGTGGGACCAGAAGGTTTATCGGGTTGGGACGGAAGTACCCTGAGACACATGGACCAGAAGGTCATGGCCTGGAAGGGCGTATTTGTGTAAGTGGTAGTTTGGGGAACTCACTAAGCATTTATGCTTACAGTTGTTGTGTTATGTGTTTCAGGTACTAACAAGGATCATGAGAGGCGCCGGCATGGCTCGTACACACACACGCAGGCGGATTGGAATTTATTTGATCTTGGGATTTGACATGTTTTGTATTATGACTACGTTACAATGGATTTTTATGGTTTGTTTTGAATAAAATTATGTTTTAAAGAAATGAAATATTGTTTTGAAAAATTACGTTGTTACATGGGGCCTTGCCCCCTACATCGGACCGAAGTCCGTAAACTGACTAGAACATAGCATAGCATAAACATATCAACTAGCATGAACACATATACTACATATTGCATCGGGACGTAGCCCGGAACACATAACACATAAATCTTGTCTGAGTCACGAAGGCATCAAACATACTAACTACTGCATCGGACCGAAGTCCGGAAACTACTGCTAGCTAAACGGGCCGGTATTGTGGCCTTAGACCCGCTCCTACTGGAAGGAAACTCACATGAATTGTTGAGCTCTGCTGATAACCCTCTGGCTGCTAACCGACAACCCTCTGAGGCGCTGCTCCTCTAGCTCTCCGAGCTACCAATATCAATATAACACTTAGTCTGGTAGTCCTCCAAAAGTCAACTAACTCAACTCTTGTCAAAGTCAAAGTGCCGGTCAAAGTCAACCTTCCAGGTTGACTATACTCGCCGAGTCAGCCTACTGACTCGCCGAGTTCATAAGCTCAGAAACCCCTTTCATTCGCGACTCGACTCGCCGAGTCTATTGATTTCCGAGTTCTGTCTTGTCCAACTCACCGAGTCTCCACTCAACTCACTGATCCGAGTCTTAACTAGAAGGGTTTGGGGTTTCGCGACCTTACTCGCCGAGTCCAAGAACACACTCGCCGAGTCTAAGGAAATCTTCAACAGACTCGCCGAGTTGTTCTGCCAACTCAGCGAGATCCTGCCTATCCTCATCCAACTTGCCGAGTCCACCCATGTGACTCGCCGAGTTACTACACGATTTAAGTTTGGTATCTAGCCCGACTCGTCAAGTCCTTACGTGTATTCTCATAATCTCGAGTCACAGAGCTACTCCTTTGCTCCAAACAATAGATATGGGTTCCTAGAGTCCATTAGCAACATAAAGTTGCTACCTTTACGTGCTTCTTGTTTCACAATACCAAAAACCAAGCTAGAAAGGAACTTAACTAATGGGGAATGGCTTTTGCATAGCAACTAACAGGGCTTTCTGCATCTTTGATCTAAATAGAGCTCAGATATGGAGTTTCAACTCCTGATCTAACTTGTGCACCAATTTCTCATCACATACTCTCAAAGAAACTCTAAAAATCCATGAAAGATGAATCTAGAAAGGAGAAAGCCAAGGATAACAATTCATTACCTCCAAATGCTCTAAAAAGTTCCACCAACTCTGGATTCAAGGCCTCCTGTTGCACCACTATGAATCTCTTCTCTTCCAAGCTTCAAATTACTTCACCAAGGGTAGATCTTGCTCCAAAAACGGTTATGGTGGCTAGGGTTTGGGGTTCTATACTATAGGAGCCGCAAATGAGCCCTAGGGAAGAGAATAAGATGCTTAAATAGGGTACCAAGTCCCGGAATTAGGGTTTCCCAACCCTGACCAGACTCGTCGAGTCGGTCACTTAATCTGCGACACGGAACCCGCTACGACTCATCGAGTTCTTCCCTGGACTCGACGAGTCGACCCCTTAAACTTATGGTTTTCCTTTCTTTTCTCTACCTTTCTGATTTTGGGTGTTACATGTTGCCTTCACCAAAGCAACTTGATAGGATGATTTGTGGAGAAAGAGATTAATTATGATTTATTAATATATTATGTGAATAATATATTATAAGAGAAATCATATTGATATTGGATGATTATCCTTACCAAAAACTCATCATAAACATCAGAGTTTTTCCCAAAATCTCAAAACACAACACGAGGAGGTGCGCGATCAAGCATTTGTTTTCCCACGATCATCTAAGGTAACTAAAACATAACCCAAAATTGTAAGCCAACGCTTAGTGAGTTCCCCCAAAATACCAACAACACCAAATAACACATACACAATAACAACATATTATGGGTCCAACCAACCATCGAGTTGGAATAACCCCATACCCCTCAAACATTGGGCTGGAATGCCAACATACTATGGATCCAATCAAGCATTGGGTTGGAATATCGTAGGTCCCTCAACCATAGGGTTGGAATGCCAACATACTATGGGTCCAATCATCCTCGGGATGGAATACCCTAGGCCCATAACCATCGGGGTTGGAATGTCCCAGCCTGTTGGCTTATGCACAAAGCAGTGAAGCCTTAGCCACCAACCAAGCATGTGCACATAATACAAATTACTATACTATTAACCAGCTAGAAAACCAATAAACAGATCTTACAGATCACTAAGCATAGCATTATCCTATCTACCAAGATACTTATCTAATAGATCGCTATAGCATAACATGCACAACAAGATATCAATCCAAGGGCCAACATTGGTGCTTTCGACCCGCAAGTACAGTGAGGAAAACTCACCTTACATGGCTGAATCGCACTGAAAGTCTCTGGTTGCTAGCTAAAATCTCTACACTAATATAACAAAATAAACATCCGATTAATAGTTGGATAC